CCTGTCCCTGCTCTCCTTTATTACATTTTATTCATTAGGAGCACATACAGTCAACTCCAACCCATTTCGCAAGGTAAAACGCGTGAAAATCACGAGCGTGGTGCAAAAGCTCGACGCACTTCACTACACTAAAATATGCACGCTACCGTAACCCTAAATTCGGACGCCGAGTTTAAAAGTTTCTTTTTCTTTTCAAGAGTTTTTCTCCGTGTTTTTGTTGTTTTTGTATTCTTTTCTTTGCACTGGATGATATCAACTACTGCGAGATGTGATAGAGAGATTTGTGAGCTAGGGGTTGCACAGAGACCGCAGGGAGGTGTGACTGTGAGGGAGCGATTTTGTTTATGTGTTCTTGAGGACTCTTCTTGCTTTTTTTCTTCTTTGGGGAATTACTTATCAGCTACTGTTTCATAATTGAAAAGCAACTATCCATGACACTTTTATCGCGGGAGCTGTCTTTAAAACGGCCACAGATGCGCGACTCATGCTCTCTTTGTGCACTTTGGCTCACCATACAGGACAATCAGCGCAACTCGTAAGCTCGCGGAAGAGTCGAAAAGCTAGGATTCTATGCGACAAGCATATGAAATCGTCTTACGACGCTGCATACAACAAAATGCATGCACGTAATTCACGTGTAAGTCGTTGTCTTGCAGACTGAAAAGAACAAAGTGTGCAAGAGTCGCGCGTCTGTGGCCGATTTATCCCGCCCGAAAGAGAGGCGAAAGCGGTACACGCTATGCAGGCGCGGACCTAGGTGATAAATGCACGAAGGTATTTCGCTGATCAGCGGGAACTGTCTTTAAACACGATCTCAACGTGATACTACAATGTAATGGATAAAATGCATCTCATATGCGCATGTTGGAACAAGTTCCAGAAAGCTTGGCTCTTGTGAGGACGTTATTCCTGACTAGGACTTACTATTCATACTCCTAAGTTTTACTAAAAGTGTTGCAGGTAAGTTTTCTTTCAGCCACTGTGTGACGGAACTCACAACTCAATTCGCGTTCCTGACTTGAAATTGAAACCAGTGCGGTTTATTCCTGATGAAGATATTACGGTGTGGTTGTGTAACTGCAAGCAGACGAAAAACAGGTGCGCCTGTTTCCTTGTTGTTTCTTAGTTTCCTTCGCTGCTGCAGTGTTTCGTAACGAAACTTGTCAGACCGTTTTGTGGATGAGTTCATCATAGAACAAATTGTAGACCAAGACAAGAGAGGTGGTCTTTTGATTAGGAAGATGTTATTTGTTCGCGTATACTATTAGGTTGTCCGGAAAGTTCTTAGCGTTTTGTGCACCTAATCTTTGTACATTCACTGCTGATTAAAAACTCATTCTGCCTTGCTTCTCAGTAGCACATCCTGTAGAGAATTTCTTGCGCTATCTGATGGTATAATTGCCGTTTCACCATTGCTTGATAAACCCTCTTTTTTCAAGATTTTTTCAAGCATGTGAAAAGAGCACTTCGGACGATTTTTTCTTCGACTATAAATTGGGGCAATCCGCAATCGAAACAGCTCAACAAATTAACCAGGTGTGGGAATATGCTAGAGAACCTGTAGCCGCAAATGGCCACAAATTCGTTCTGCGAAATTTCAGCCTTGAAGGTGAGCCTCATAGCGGTCGACCTAAAGCAATATCTGACGAGGATTTTAGGGGGATTTTGAAGGTTGACCCATCCCAAACAGTTCGAGAGATAGCAGAAGAGCTAGGCCTTGGCAAATCCACTGTTGCAGATGGTCTGGAACGCATTGGGAAGGTGAAAAAACTCGACAATTGGGTGCCCCACAATCGGAGTGACCGGCAGGAATCGGCACGTCTCGAGGTTCCTTCTTCACTGCTTTTGCGCAAAAGAATTGACCCGTTTTTGAACGGATTTGTCACCTGTGATGAAAAATGGATCATGTATGATAACAGGAGACGTTCCGGACAGTGGTTGGATTTGGAGGAACCACCGAGGTAATTTTCAAAGCCGAACCCTCGCGAAAAAAAAATTCTGGTCAGGTTTGGTGGTCATCGGCTGTTGTAATCCACTATAACTTTTCATCACCAGGCCAAATTAAGCAGAACCCTTACTGTAAACAAACCGACCAAATGTACCGAAAATATTGTCAGCTGCAGCCAACACTTATCAAAAGAAAGGGTCCGATTCTTTTGCATGACAACGCCCGCCCACACGTTTCACAAATCACTATCCATAAATTGAACGAATTGGGAGTTGAAGTTCTACCTCACCCACCATATTCTCTAGACCTTTCACCAACCGACTGTCACCTTTTCAGACATTTTCAGAACTTTCCTGCTGAGAAATACTTCATCAAACAGGACCAGGCAAAAAAGACCTTCGCAGATTTCGTGGATTCTCGACCACCCAGTTTTTTCTTTGGGATTTCTCGGACTGCTGCACATTGGCAAAAGTGTGCTGATTCGAATGGTGCTTATTTGGATTAAATCCGATGAGTGTTAAGAAAGTTATGATCGTTTAAAGTTAAACACCCAAAACGCTAAGAACTTTCCGGACAACCTAATAGTTATTGTCGTTAACAGTAACATCAAACAGCAACTGGTTCGAAACAGACTACGATCAACAGTGCATA